CTCTGTGGACGAGCTGCGTCTCCGTCAGGATACATCCCATCAACATCAGAACGAGCGTCGCCGTCTCCATGGCGATGTCACCCACAGCGTCCAATCAGAGCGCAGGACTCAACGCGGGTCAGAACCGACGAGCAGAACTCAAAAACCAAAGACACAGACAAAAACTGAGACAAAAACTGCAGAAAAAAAAACTGCAGGAGGATTCAGATGTGGAACAAAAATAATAAAGAGTCAATGTTTGTCAGAGTGTGAAACATAAAGTGTAAAAGTTTAAAGTGTAAAAGTGTAAAGTTTAAAGTGTAAAGAGTAAAAGTATAAAGTGTAAAACATAAAGTGTAAATGTGAGTGTGGATCAGAGCTGCAGTCGGAGGCGTCGCTCTGAACTCAAACCCCAAACATCACGTTTATAACAGAAACAAGACCTGCCCCCCCCACACGGACCAGCCAATCACAGCACAGGACGGAGACAGGACCCGCCCCCCACAGGGACCAGCCAATCACAGCACAGAACACAAAACATGCACTGCTTAAAAAAAAGTTTTAACAAATAAACAGATCTGAACCAGGACTAAACCAGGTCTAAACCAGGACTAAACCAGGACTAAACCAGGACTAAACCAGGACTAAACCAGGTCTAAAACAGCTTCTGGTGCTGGTTTTACACAGATCATCTCTGACTGTAACTTCCCTCTCCTCTCTTCTCTCTGTCCTCCCCTCTTCTCCTCTCTTCTTTCTTTTTCTTCTTTCTCTTTTTTCTCTTTTCTTTTTTGTCATTAAAGTTTTTTCTTGTTCAGGTTTTTCTGTCAGTTGACTTTTTCTGAACACAATTTACAGATTTGTGACTCACGTTTAAAGAGAAACACACAACATCTACACACACACATCTCACACACACACACACACACACACACACACATCTACACACACACACACACACACACACACACACACACACACACACACACACACACACCACAACACACACACACACACACACACACACACACACATACACACACACACACACACATCTACACACACACACAACATCTACACACACACACACACCATCTACACACACACACACACACACACACAACACACACTACACACACACAACACACACACACACACACACACACACACACACCACACACTACACACTACACACACACACATCTACACACACAACATCTACACACACACACACACACACACACATCTACACACACAACACAACATCTACACAACACACACACACACACAACACACACACACAACACACACACACATTCACACACACACACATCTACACACACAACATCTACACACACACAACATCTACACACACACACACACACAACACACACAACACACACACAACACACACACACACACACAACATCACACACACACTACACACACAACATCTACACACACACACATCTACACACACACACACTACACACACACACATCTACACACACAACATCTACACACACACAACATCTACACACACACACACATCAACACTACACACACACACACAAACATCTACACACACACAACATCTACACACACAACATTACACACACAACACACACACACACATCTACACACACACAACATCGTACTACACACACAACATCACACACACACACATCTACACACACAACATCTACACACACACACACACACACACAACATCTACACACACAAATCTAACAACACAACACACACACATCTACACACACACATCTACACACACACAACACACACACACACACATCTACACACACAACATCACTACACAACACACAACATCTACACACACATCTACACACACACAACACACACTACACACACACACACTACACACACAACACTACTACACACACAACATCTACACACACACACTACACACACACATCTACACACACACAACATCACACACACACACACACACACAACATTACACACACAACATCTACACACACACACATCACACACAACACACATCTACACAACACACACACACACATCTACACACACACACATCACACACAACATCTACACACACACACATCTACTACACACACATCTACACACACAACATCTACACACACAACATTACACACACACACACTCACACACAAATCTACACACACACATCTACACACACACATCTACACACACAACATCTACACACACAAACATCTACACACACACATCTACACACACACACATCTACACACACACACACACAACATCTACACACACACACACATCTACACACAACACACACACACACACACATCTACACACACAACACACACACACATCACACACACACACACACACACACACACACATCTACACACACACACACATCTACACACACACACATCTACACACACACACACACATCTACACACACACACACACACACATCTACACACACACACATCTACACACACCACACATCTACACACACACACACATCTACACACACACATCTACACACACACATCTACACACACACAACATCTACACACACACACATCTACACACACACAACATCTACACACACACAACATCTACACACACACACATCTACACACACACAACATCTACACACACAACATCTACACACACACAACATCTACACACACACACATCTACACACACACACAACATCTACACACACACAACATCTACACACACACACACACACATCTACACACACACACAACACACCACACAACATCACACACACAATCTAACACACACACACACACACACACACATCTAACACATCTACACACACAACATCTACACACACACAACATCTACACACACACACATCTACACACACACACACACACACATCTACACACACACATCTACACACAACATCTACACACACACAACATCTACACACACACACACACACACTACACACACACAACAACATCTACACACACACACACACATCTACACACACACATCTACACACACCACACACAACACACATCTACACACACACACACATCTGCACACACACACACACACAACATCTACACACACACATCTACACACACACATCTACATCTACACACACACACACACACACACATCTACACACACACAACATCTACACACACACACACACACACAACACACACACAACATCTACAACACACAACATCTACACACACACACACACACTACACACACACACACAACATCTACATCACACACAACATCTACACACACAACATCTACACACACAACATCTACACACACAACATCTTACACACACACACACACATCACACACACAAACAAACACGACACACACACACATCTACACACACACACACACACACACAACATCTACACACACACACATCTACACACACACAACATCTACACACACACACACAACATCTACACACACACACACACACACATCACACACACACACACACACACACACACATCTACACACACACACAACATCTACACACACACACACACACTACACACATCTACACACACACAACATCTACACACACACACACACACACACTACACACACAACAATCTACACACACACAACATCTACACACACAACATCTACACACACACACACACACATCTACACACACAACATCTACACACACACACAACATCTACACACACACAACATCTACACACACAACATCACACACACACACACACACACACACACATCTACACACACACATCTACACACACACACAACACTACACACACACATCTCACAACAACACACACACACACAACATCTACACACACACAACATCTACACACACACATACACACAACACACACACACACACAACACACAACATCTACACACACAACATCTACACACACACAACATCTACACACACAACATCTACACACACAACATCTCATCTACACACACAACATCTACACACACACACATCTACACACACAACATCTACACACACACATCTACACACACACACATCTACACACACACACATCTACACACACACAACATCTACACACACACAACATCTACACACACAACATCTACACACACAACATCTACACACACAACATCTACACACAACATCTACACACACACACACATCTAACACACACACATCTACACACACACAACATCTACACACACACAACATCTACACACACACAACATCTACACAATCTACACACACAACATCTACACACACACATCTACACACACAAACACACAACATACACACACACATCTACACACACACCAACACACACACACACATCTACACACACACACACACACACACACACAACATCTACACACACACATCTACACACACAACATCTACACACACACAACACACACACACATCTTACACACACACACATCTACACACACACACACACACAAACACACACACACAACATCTACACACACACATCTACACACACACACATCTACACACACACACACACACACATCTACACACACACACACATCTACACACACAAATCTACACACACACAACATCTACACACACACAACATCTACACACACACACAACATCTACACACACAACATCTACACACACACTACACACACACAACATCTACACACACACACACAACACACATCTACACACACACTACACACACACACACACACAACATCTACACACAACATCTACACACACAACACACACACACACACACCACACACACACACACACACACAACACACACAACATCTACAAACACACACACACACACACACACCAGAGTGATGTGGTGGTTCGTTCTTTCGCCCTCTGGTGGTGAGTTTTGAAGATGTTCGTTACCTGAGTCACTCGTCTCTCGGCTCAGTGAGTCTGCGGCTCTTCCTCTTCTTCTTCTTCTTCTTCTTCTTCTTCTTCTTCCTCTTCTTCTTCTTCTTCTTCTTCTTCTTCCTCTGAGTGATGCTTTTTAAATTTGTCAGAATAAAGGAACCAAAAGTCTCCAGGACGTTTTTAAAAAAGAACAGTTTATTGTTTTAGAGGATCTGTGTGACGACTTTTCCTCGGTCCTCACAAATCACACGT